ATGAGGGAAATATTTAATTTCCTTTTCCCGAGGACTTGTTCTGAAATATGAAATCTACATAAGTGTTTTGAATAATCCTAGTTCTCGCATTAATACAAACCTATCCAGGTTATTTTGCCTTCCTACTTCATTGACACAACAGATCACCGCTCCTTCTATAACCTCCCCAGGTGTTAGGGGCGCACACTGGCTAGAGCGGCCTGGAGTGCGGGGCAGTGCAGAACACGGGGCAGTGGAGCAGAGCAGAGCAGGCAGAGCTGCCCCACAGCTGGACTGATACAGCCATGCCTTAGCCCCACCCAAGTTTCCTTCTTCACTGAACCCTCCTCACAAAGGCAGTAGGAATAGTAAATACGTAACATCATTGGCACCATGTAAGATGCATTTCAGGACCTTAGGTTATAAATGTATGTTCTTTATCTTCTCATTGAAAAATCTTTCTAAGTTGCCCTGGCCAGACTCTGGTTAGCGTAGGCCCGCGCACAAAGGTCTCAGGTTCAATTTCCAGTCAAGGGCACATACCTGGGTTGTAGGTCTGATTCCTGCCACTGGTCGGGGCAATTTGGGAGGCAACTAATCGATGTGTGTGTCTCTCACATCAATGTTTCTCTCTCTCCTCCCTCCCACCACCCCCCCCCAACAAAAAAAAAACCTTTTAAGTCAATTTATTTCCCCCTTTTGTTAATCTAACTATTTACATAGATAGAACAAATATCCTAAGGTGTTTCTTAGAAAGACAATGAAAGGATATAAAGTGAAAATTATATTCTACACAAGTAATTGCAGGTATCTCAAAGACAGCATAAAAGAAAAATTTTAATTATAGTGGAACTGTAAGAAAAAACATGATCTACATATAAAACGTGATTTTAAAATATTTAGCAAAAATACAAAAGTTGTTATAAAAGAAAATGACAACTACAAAAACAAAAGCCGCACTATTAAATCTAGAATGTTTCAGTTAAATGTGTTTGATTAGTTTTAAAAAGTGAATCATGGATATTTTTATCTAATAAAATAATCTAGTGCAATGCTTAGGTTTAACTTATACATTTAACCTAAATGAATTATAACAGAAAACAGATAACCTATTGGCTTAAGGAAATTCAGTGATAATCCCATCTAAGGAGAGAATGAATAACAAGGCTATATTTACATTCTAGTACACTAGGAACTATGTGTTCAATTTCCAAAGGAAATTTTCATCTTGCCTCAAGAACTTAAACTAAAAACTTTATAAATCTAGAGCCTCTAAACACTGAAATTTTTAGCTCTACTGGGATATGGAAATATTCTTCAGTAATAAAAACCAAGCACACAGCCTAAGAAAAAAATACCTTCGCATGTAAGTAATCACTAGACCTTAAGGGAGGGCACCTTCTGGACCGCTAAAATGTTTGTGCTTGATAGCAAACCCAAGGGAGTTCTGTCAAAGGTTACATTTAAATCTTCTACCCAGTAAGTCTTTGCTAGCTTTATTACTAAGAATTAATGCCCCTGAGGACAATTTTTTAAATATTAGTTTTCCAACATTTTTTCTATTCATTGCTAATCAATCAGATTCACACAAATATGGTCAAAATTCTGTAGTCATTCTTTACTGTCGATGATGCTGGTTGGCAGTAGAGCACACACAATCTGATGAGTAGACAATCCATAAGAAATGGATTTGCTGATCCATCCACGTCTATCCAGTTATGTCAAAGAGCACTCAAGTGCAAGACAATGGAAGGGATTAAGATTATAGCAAAACTAAGATCAAATCTGTGACCTTTGCCTAAATGTTTTATGCTCAATTTAAAGAACCACAAAATCCATTTATTGAAATGAAAAAGAGCAACAGGAAAAAATACTATTCAGTTAAAATATTGGCTTTAAAAGACTTTACACCCCCGACAGAGAACCAAGAGCGCTAATGCTCTCATAAAATGTGACTAATATCATTCCACAAACATTGGTATATAGAACATCAATCTTAAAAACAGTATATTTCTAAGACACAGCTAAATAACTAGAACTAAACATTTTATATGAACATTTCCTCTAGGTGTTTTATATTATTGCTACAGAGACCTGAGGGGATTTGGGAGACGGGAGGATCCTGTCCCTTTTCCTAAAACTTTGGGATTGTTTTGCTTAAAGTTTACCTATATGTTGTTTGAGCCTAATAATCTTCTAAGAAACTAGCTTAGAGTTCGAATATCAAAAAGTTGTGTACATCCTCCCAAAGGAAAAATCGGCTCTATTTATGTAGCTTTATTTACAGAAGCTTTTTCCCTCCTGTTTTAATAAAACACTTCTTTATACTTTATAAAATCTGAATACCCCCCTTTCCCCCCAAATTTCTTTGAAATAAGTATTCTCAACTTTCAATTAAACTCTGACAACCATTTTAGATGCCAAGACTAAGGCACCTGCCCCCCATCAGTGTTAAGACTCAAACTGGCTGAGCACTAACCTTCTAATATAAATATGTAAGTAGATGATATATCAACTCTGTCAAAAAGAAATGGTCATCAGCATTCACTCAGCACCTGAATAGTTACAGTCACTATCTCCGCAGAAAAACCCCTTGGAATTTTGTAGTATTTATGGGGCTTCATTCTATCAGGAAATATTTCTCACATCATCACCCTGCAAAGTTTTTTCCAACTCTGTTAAATGCGTAATCTGCAAGAAATTACTAAAAGCATATGAATCAATCATAATTTCTAAGTCAGTCTGTTTAGCCCTCTTATAATTTATATTCAACTACTACAAAATTTAAGTTAGTTGCAAATGTCAGTTCCCCCTTTCCCTGTTGATGTGCCGGTAGCTGGATTTGGGGATTAGCAACTGAGCTACTCAGGTCATTTCAATAAAATACTATCCAAACCAGCTACCCCAACCTCACTGGTGACGGCATAACTTAGATTTTTGAACCCTATGTAACTCTGATCATCACTGGTGGCTGTAAGTTGTACTGGCTAGTTTTCATGTCCAGTCAGCTTCACTGTATATAACTTTTCTCCTTTAAAATGCTACAGGTCAAAACCCCCCGTGCACACACAGTGAAAATGTCACCTGTGAATAGCTCAGGGGGAAGAGGTTTCTGATTTGGGTTCTGTTCACTTTCTGATCCATCTAAATACTGGCGGTGTTTAGTGGGAGATGACCATATGGGCGATAAACAGAACCTGAGGTGAAAGGTACAGGTCTCTCTAACATGCATATCCCAGAACTGCAAGAAAAGGGAGTGGGGACGAAGTCCCACATTGTAAGGGCATCAGCATCTAATCCAGTCCTTGGACAAATGTCTGGGCTTTGGAAACAAAGGGCAAGAGGTGATGACTAGTCTATGATATTTTTAAAACTCCCACCCCCCCTAGTAAGTCTCCACCCTCCCGTATCCCCCAAGCGTGATTTTGCACAACAAGTTAAATAAAAGTAAACTGTTTATTAAAAGATACAGCAAAGGTACAGATACAGAGATACATACAAAGATACATATATATATATATTTACATATATATACAGTCTTGCTGTTTTCATGTGCACTATATTTAGCAGCACATTTAATCAGGTGGCATTTTAATGGGGTTGTTTTGACACTTGGCGTTATTACTGCATCATGACAAGATACAACTATAGCCTCGTGAAATTTTCAAGGTGTGAATTCCACTTCTCCAACTTTCATTAGTAGCAAAAAGAGAAAGGAGAAGGGAAATGGAGTACACCAAGGCTGAGCATTAGGTTAAACACAAGAATTCCAAAGGGCCAAGGTAGCACAGGGAAGGGAAATGATTAAAATTAAAGGCTATCTGACAAACCACCCGGAGAACAGTAAGAAACCATTATTTAAGGGCAATAGGCTATGCATTCAAAATGCTCACATCAGCCTACAATGACCTTTTTCAATCCACTTCTTGTGTTGAACCTGAGGATCTGCCTCTGTCCGCTCAACCCCTCCAGCCAGTACAGTGCTACCACCAGAATCTAGAGCTATAAAGCCTTGAAGCAAAACGGGATGCTAAATAGTTGTACCTTGGGCTACCTTCCCACAAGTGCAAGGAGGGCCCAATGTTGGGGAGGGATGTGACAACACTGTTCTCTGCAATTCGATGCTTTTCACTTTGTGGCTTGGTTCCACAAAGTGAATTGCATCGAGTTACTGTCAAATGAGAAGCTGCGGGTTGTTTCATCTGTCGTTTAACCCGGCCCTGCCGTTTACCCCGGCCCTAAGAAGAGTGAAACAGAATCCAAATCAGATATAAAATAACAATAAAATGGCAGATTCAGGTATAAAAAAAAAGAAAAACACATAATATTCCTCTTACTTACCTCAGAGGGCAGATTGCTGCTGAAAACATTATCATCATCTTTGTTTTCTTCACCATTTTTATCCACAGGAACCCACTCTCCGTAAACGCTGTCTGCTTCTTTTTTTCGGTGCTGAGATCCGGATGACACAGGAAACTCTTTTGTTAACGTGACCTGGCTTTTTGGAGGCGTAGGCTTTGCTGCAGCAATCTAAAAAAATAAAGTTTCTCAATTACTTTCCAACAGTCTCAGAATGACTTTGTTCTTTACTTCTCAGTATTTAATTCAAAAATTAAGCTAAATTCCATTTGAGTCTTATTTAAATATTTAAAAGTTCCATAAGTTGTGCTGTTTAAATCAATTCATAAACACTAATACTCACATTCAGGTTGAAAAATATGGGTTTGGGTTCACTGAGTTTAAAGGGATGATGATAAAAAGGAGGTTCCTCTTCCTCTTCATCCGAAACATGAGGCTTATTCACTATTACATCATCATCTTCTTTACTCTGTGCAATCTGTTTGCATTTCTTAAAAAGTAAAAACAAACAAGATAAATCTTACACTTTAGGTAAAATACAAAATGTAATTTCTTAAAAGAATGAAAACTACATAAAATCAACTTTCAAAACTAAAACGAGATTAATGATGGGCTATAGATAGGAAACTTGGCTTATTAGTATTATTTAAACACACTCTAGCTGGTCAGTCAGTCAACAACATTTATTGAGCACCTACTATGTGCAGAGCACTGTACTGGGCACTGTCCAGGGTATACAAAAAAGGAGAAGACATGGTCCCTGCTCCCAAGGAGCTTACAATCTAGTTTAAGAGACAGAATACATACACGTGGAATAGCTGAGGAGCGCTTTTACAGAGCAACACAAGGAACAAGTGCAAACTGATATAATACAAACTGAGTACATAAGTGCCGAGAGAACAAAGGCTTAGGAGAGAATAGAATCAGGCAGAATTTGATAATCAAAGGATAGTCCTTGAAGAGTTCTAAGCCAGATTTTCATAGTTGAGAACAAGGACTGGCAGGAAAAGGAAAAGGTGATCCTAGTCAGGTGGTGTTTAAAAAAAAAAAAAGTGAGAAGAAACTTATTAGGAGGGACAAGAGGGCTAATGATGAGGATAAAAACATAGGGAAACACTGTGTTCTTAAGTTTTGGAGAAGGAATTTGGGTTTGATAAGCAAACAATAAAAGCCTTTACTAGGTCCTTAAATTAAAAAAAAAAGTTGTACTTCATATTGTAGTAAATCTAAATGATGAAACAGATTAAGAAACTTTATGATCCCCAAAGGTATGGTAAAATGAAAGATGTGAAACATTGCAATTGGGTTGGATAGTAACATCTCTCCATAAATGTCTTGTAGGTTGAGTCTCTAAAGGACTAGAACTCAAGATTGGAAAATAAGGCATGATGGAGAGGGGGTGTAATTGATGAGGTCTGACACATAAAGCAAAGTCAATTCCTTCCTGTCCGAAGGAACAGATTCCATTACCTGGCTTTATAAAAAGGTCAGAGTAAATTTGGGTAGACTTGTCTCTTTACAAGCAGAATGCCACATCCATTATCAATTGAAAATATTACAATAGGATAAAAAGCTCATTTAGCCAAAAACAGAGTATACTACACTTGTAACCAAGGGGAACAGAATATATTGACAGTGGCAGGCTGGCATAAGGCTAGCCGATAGCAAGTTTCAATATATGAAACAGTGTGGTATTTCTGGATCCTAGCAGCAATATTTCAGCATCCTCCCCCCTCCCCGAAAACCAACAAAATAATATTAATAAAACAAAGCCAAAAACAAGCCTCATTTGAAAAGATCAAATTCTTAAGAACAAAAATAAGTGTTTAAAATATATATATGTTACTGCCAAAACCCGAACCGCAAGGAAGAACTGATAATGGCCGGCCATTATCACCAATGGCTGGTACCAAACAGCCAAAACCCGAAATGATGATGCGAAAGAAGTTCCTTTCAGGCAATGGCCAGCTATTCTCATTAATTTCCAAGCTCCGGTGGCAAAAGATCATTTCTGAAGATTGTCTGTGTCTTTGCGTATATGCAGTACACTCGTGGCGATCAGTGAACACGTCGTGAATGGAAACGAAACTGTAGGCGAGCTTCTGCGTGTTGCTCACTCAACACCTCCTCCATTCAAACGAACCGTCCCACTCCTCAGTCAGTTTGGCTTCTAAAACTGGAAAGCAAAAGTAATGGGAAGTAACTTTTAGCTAGCGGAGCTTAGCCATCCCGGATAATGGCCTGCTAAACAGAGCTTCTGCCGCTGCCACACCTGTATTTCGGGTTTTGGCCACTCGGTGCCAGCCATTATCAGTTCAGCCCACAATTCGGGTTTTGGCACGCTCCAGAGTCAACATCACTGGAATAATCCATTTAAGAATTAAAACAAATTCTGTCTAGCTTACCTCCGTTAGTTCTTCTATAGTAGCTCCTCCTGACTTTTTAGCAACTTTCTCTTCTATGGTAGGTGGAGGTGCAGGCTTTAGGTTTGGCGGTAAAGGAACACCAGCCTTAGCACACATGGCAGCTGCATTAGCTTTGGCTATTTCAAGTAATTGAGCCTTATCTGTAAGAGGAAAAATACAAGAAGCAGTTTTCCCAAAGGTTGTATTCTGTATTATTTTAAGTTTTATATGCTAACAAAATGGAATACATCAACTTTCTGCTCTAACTTACAATAGTAATCAAATCACTCTGACTCAAAAGTTTTTAAGAGAATGCCTACTTAAATTAAGGCCAGCCTGGCCGATGTGGCCCAGTGGTTGAGCATCGGCCTATGAACCAGGAGATTACAGTTCGATTCCAGGTCAGGGCAAATGCCCAGGTTGCCAGCTCGAACCCTGGTAGACGTGCAGGAGGCAGCCAATCAATGATCTCTCTCATCACCGATGTTTCTTTCTCTTCCTCTGAATCAATAAAGAAGTTTTTAAAAAAATAATTAGGTCCACTTTTAGGTTCCCATTCAAATACTATAGAAAATACTAAATTATGTAACTACAATCACCTTGCCACATAACTGCCAGAAGATCCATACCTGCCAAAACCTACTTTGTTTTCCAAAATTATCATGCCCTTAAAATTACTTTCCTTCTAGCCCCCACAAGTGTGGCTCAGTTGACTGTCATTCCGTGTACCAAAAGGATGCTGGTTCAATTCCTGATCAGGGCACATGCCGGTGTTTCAGGATTGATCCCCAGTAAGGGGTGTGCAAGAGGCAGCCTATCAATGTTTTGTTCTCACACTGATGTCTTTCTCTCTCTCCCTCTTAAAAAAAAATCTTTAAAAATTTACTTTCCTTCAAATATCTGACATTTTAAACCACTTATACACCACTTGATCCCAATTCAGGTGTCACTATTTCTAACAAGTCTTAAGTCATAATTTAACATTCCTCTCCACTGTGCTTCCAAAGTGCCTTACCTATCCTATACCAGTACTTACAGCAATCATAACATGCTGCTCTTTTTGGCAGTTTTACTATTTGGCAAAAGAGACATATATGTATTTTATCCATGTCTCCTCTACTAACTTTTAATCACTTCAGGAATTAAATACTATTCCTCTACTTTGAATAAAAAAAGAACTCAAAACTTTTTGTTGAACTGAATGCATTCTCCCTTATTGTTCGGTTAGGGTCTTTTTAGATGTTGTTGCTAATCCTCATTCGAGGATATTTTTTTGTTGATCTTAGAAAGAGTGGGAGAGGGAAAGACAGAAACATTGATGTGAGAGAAACACATAGAATGGCTGCCTCCTGCACGTGCCCCCAAGAGGGCCTGAGTGGGGGAGAAGACTACAACCAAGGTACGTGGCCTAGAGCAGAATCAAACCCAGGACCCTTTGGTCCATAGGCCGATGCTCTATCCACTGAGTAACCAGCTAGGCGTCTTTTTCTTTAGACAACACTAACTTGGAAATGTCCAACTACTGGGATAATTACCCATTATTTTATCCCACAAGCTTTACCCATCTATGTGCACTTCTTAAAATCAGGGACACTAGAGCACTTTTTTTAAAGGAAGATTAAAATCACTTTAATAAATATCACTTTATTTTACCCAGGTAAATAACTCCCCACATACAGAATTCCCTAAGCACTTCCACTACCCATTATACCATTAGAATTACCTACATAAACTTTGAGGGTCTGATATTGCCATTTTAAGACATGTAACTGATCTAAAAAGAAACACTGTAACCTTAGGCTTATTTGTAAAGATTTATGTTGAAACACATCCAACAACAATCTGAGCATACACTAGCCTGGTACTTAACTGGATTTCTACTTCCCCTTTCTGGTTATGGAAGACGGGTTCAAGAAAAAAAAAAACATTCAAGTATGGGACCACCTTGGTTCTATCATGCTCCAAAGTAAGTCTTTGAACTCAAACTACACCAAGGACTTATCCCTACATTTCCTAAACACAAGCTTAGCTAATTAAAAAAATTTAAAGAGAAATATTTATCCTAAACCACTAACCTAAAATACTCCATTTGACTCAAAGAGCAGGAACAACTCAGATTTAAGCCATGCTCTCCCATTACGTTTTCAGTAACTTACTCAGATCTGTCAGGCGTTTAGGCGATCGGCCTCTTTCTGAAGATCGGGACCGTTTACGGCGGAGGGGAGACCTGCTAAACCTTCTTCGCAAGGGTGTCCGTGATCGCCTTAACCTGACTGGTGAGATACTGAAGCTTCGTCTTCTTACCACCGACCTTGATCTTCTCCGTCGGCTAGGAGTGCGGCTCCGTCGGCTAGGGGTGCGGCTCCGTCGGCTTGGGGTGCGGCTCCGTCGACTAGGGGTACGGCTCCGTCGGCTTGGGGTGCGGCTCCTTCGGCTTGGGGTGCGGCTCCGTCGGCTCGGGGAAATGCTAAAGCTCCTTCTCCCCACAGATCTAGATCTTCTTCGTCGACTCGGAGTGTGGCTCCGACTCCGCCGACTTGGGGTGCGACTCCGAGCTCTCCCAGTTTTCCGATTATCCCTGGAGCTTGATCTTTTTCTTTTTCTTTCCCTGGACTTGGATCTGTGCTTTGGGGACCTTTTGCGCTTCTCTTTTGATACAGATCGCCTTCCTCTAGACTTTGATCTTGACCTGCTGCTCCTCCTCCTGCGTCTTGAACGTGACCTTGAACGTGTTTGAGAGCGACGAGACTTGGACTTAGATGATCTCTTCCTTGCCCTAGAACGAGATTCACTGGTACGTTTGCGTGATTTGTGTTCTGAAGACTTGGACCGCTTACTTCGAGATCTTAACGAAGAGTCTCTTTTCTTTTCTTTCTCACCTTTATCACGGTTCTTATTTTTCTTGCTTTTTTCATGAGTGTCCTTAACTTTCACAAAAATTTCATAATCATCTTTTTCCTCTGAAGATGAATCTGAAGCTCTTTCTGGTATACTCATTACAACTGGACTGGCAGCAGATTTGTCACGTTCAACTTCACTTGCAAGTAAAGGTCCTTCAATACCAGCTCTGAGGCTTGTAAGACGTTCCATGTCCTTAGGAAGTAATGGTCTTACTAAATCTGCTTCATTAATATCTTCAATATTGGCAGGAAATGCAGATTCAGACACTGTCTCTTTAGCAGGGAGTGGTACCTCTTTATCTTCACTACTTTCTTTAGGGCTGAGAGCAACTGCTAATGTCTGGTCACTCTCCTTTGTAGGTAATGGTCCTTCTGTATCATTGCTAATAAAGTTATTAGATGGCAAGTCAAGATGAATGTCTTTAGCAGGCAAAGGTCCCTCTATGTCAGCCTCACTACCACCACTGGGGCTAGTGGAAATTACCATGTCATGTTCAGTATCTTGAGTACTTAAAGATACTTCAACATCATATTTACTAACTGAACTGAGAGCAGATACTGTGGCAAATTCAATACCCTTACTAGTTCCCAATGTATCAGGTTCGACAGCAAGAGGACCAGCAGAAGATAGAGTTCCTCCTACATCAGCTTCACTAACACTAGGGCAGGTATCCAATACTATGCATTGTTTAGTCTCATTGATGGCCAAAATTTTCTCTTCACCCATTTCACCAATAGCACCAGTGCTGGCAGTGGACATTGTGCTATGTTCCATGTCTTTAGCAATTAAATGATTATTTATATCAACGTCTCTATTTATACCATGTTCACTTTGATAAGAGTCACTCTTCAGGTGCTCATCATGTGGCTCTTCATCTGAGTGCATGGGAACCTCCTGCATACCAATCTCTGGAGTAAGATCTTGATAAGTAGATATTAAATTCATTCCTGTTATAACACCAGACTTCAGCATCGCAGAGGTAGACTCTAAAGCCATCTCAGTCAGTGTTATTTGAGTCTGCTCTGAGACAGTGACAGCAGGCTCTGCAACTGTCACTGTAGATTCTTGGACAACAGGTGGTTCTGAAATAATGTTAGGTTGAACTGATACTGCTGGTTCTAGGACAGGTACAGCAGGCTCCAGGGCAGAAACAACTGGCACAGGAATGGTAACATGCTCTGGCTCAACCAAGGCCATGGGCTCTGGGACAGCCTCAGGTGATGGCTCCAGTACAGCCATGGCCAGTGGCCCAGGGACAGTCACAGCCAGGGGCTCTGGGACCTCAGCTGAGGGCTCTGGGACAGCTTCGGCTGGGGGCTCTGGGACAGCCTCGGCTGGGGGCTCTGGGGCAGCCATGGAGGGTAGCTCTGAGATGGCCATGGCTGACAACTCTAGAGCGCTCTGTGATGGCTCTGGAATAGTGACTGCAGGCTCCAGGAGGGACACAGATACCTCTGAGGCAACATGTCCTGGAGCTCTCATGGAATCAAAGGTTTCTGCTGTCTCTGACATAATAGAAGGCTCTGATGTTGACATAGTTGGTTCAGCTGACATCATGGTAGTTTCAGATACCATATAAGCCCCTGGTCTTTCTAGAACTTCATGCTCCTCTGCTTCTGCAGCAGACTCTATAGGTGCTGATGTAACCGCAGACTCTGGCTCCAGTGGTGGCTCTGGAACAGTCATGGCAGCCTCTGACACTAACATTGAAGGCTCTGATGCTGACACTGAATAATTAGCAGGCACCACCGAAGGCTCTGAAATCTCACTTTGACTCACAGGAGGTTCAGCCAGGGATACCGACTCTTCAGGAGGTAATGGTGGCATCTCAGTAGGCCAAGTATTTTCAGCTGTTAATGCTGACTGCTCAGTGGGTAATGCTGTGCCCTCCGGCGGCTCCTCAGGAGGCAATGGTGGTGTCATTGGTGGCTCTTCAGGTGGCAATGGTGGCATTGTTGGAGGCTCTTCAGGAGGCAAGGGTGGCACCATATATGCCTCTGTATATGTATCAGTGTAAGAATCGGTGTAAGAATCAGCTGCCATAGACATCATTGAACGATCAGCAGTATAAGATGACATCATAGTTCGGTCAGCTGCAGAATACGATGACATCATAGACCGGTCGGCAGCAGAGTAAGATGACATCATAGACCGGTCAGCCATCATTGATCGGTCCGTCATCATAGAGCGCTCATAAGCTGACATCATAGAACGCTCATAAGCTGACATCATGGAGCGCTCAGCCATAGGGGACATCATAGAGCGCTCATAGGCTGACATCATAGAGCGCTCATAGGCTGACATCATGGAGCGCTCAGCCATAGGGGACATCATAGACCGCTCATAAGACATCATAGAGCGTTCATAAGATGACATCATGGAACGTTCTGCAGCATAGGACATCATCATAGAACGTCTAGATGCCAACATCAGGGGTCTGGGTGCTAACCTATATGGTCTAGGAACGGCCCTATAGGACCTGGGTGCTATCCTGTAAGGTCTAGGTGACATCCTATAGGGATCAGGAGTAAGTCTGTAGGGATCATGGCCTAATCTATAAGGGTCTTGCCCTAATCTATAGGCATCATGACCTAGCCTATAAGGGTCATGACCTAACCTATAGGGATCCTGAGCTAACCTATAGGGATCCTGAGCTAACCTGTAGGGATCAGGAGATTTTGAACCCAGCATAGAAGAATCTTGGGTACTAGATGCTAACATCTGGGCATCCATGGTACCAGACGCTAACATCTGAGCATCCATGGTGCCGGAAGCTAACATTTGAGAGTCCATAGTGCCAGATGCTAACATCTGAGAATCCATAGAGCTAGTTGCTAACATCTGGGAGTCCATGGTGCTGGTTGCTAACATCTGGGAGTCCATAGAGCTAGTTGCTAACATCTGGGAGTCCATGGAGCTGGTTGCTAACATCTGGGAGTCCATGGAGCTGGACGCTAGCATCTGGGAGTCCATGGTGTTAGATGCTAGCATCTGGGAGTCCATGGTGTTGGACGCTAGCATCTGGGAGTCCATGGTGTTGGACGCTAACATATGGGTCTCCATGGTGTTAGAAGCTAACATATGGGATTCTTGGGCCATCAAGGGATCCACTCCTACTGTTATAGAAGTCTCCCCCACTAATGTAGTAGGCAGCTCCTGTGCTACCGTATTATAGGATTCCAGCGCTGTCGTCGAGGGCACCTCCAGGGACTGCGACACGGTCATCGTTGACAGCTCCGTTGTCACCACAGACTGAACAGAGATCTCCAGCGCCACAGTTGCCGCAGGCTGCCCAGGCAACTCTGGCGCCCCAGGCTGCCCTGGCAACTCCAGAACCCCTGTTGCCAGAGGCTGCCCCAAAAGCTCTAGTGCTCCAGCTGCCCCAGACTGCCCTGCAAACTCCAGTGCCCCAGTTGCCATGAGCTGCCCAGGCAACTCCAGTGCCCCAGTTGCCACAGGCTGCCCAGACAACTCCAGTGCCCTAGTTGCCGAAGGCAGCCCTGGCAACTCTGGCACCCCAGGCACCGAAGGCTGCCCTGGCAACTCCAGCGCTGTCGTTGCCACTGGTTGCCCTGGCAACTCCAGCACCATCGCTGCCTCAGGCTGCCCCAGCAACGTTGTTGCTGTTGTCACCTCAGGCTGCCCAGGATGTTCCATCGCTGTCATCCCCACAGGCTGCTCCAACTCTGTCGTCGTCGCCGGTTGCTCCGTCAACTCCATTGCTACTGTTACCGCAGGCTGCCCTGGCAACTCCTGTGCCGTCACAGGTGGCTCTGGTACCTCCTGTGCTGGCTCCAACCCCATGGATGGTGCTGGAAGCCCTGGCAATTCCTGCGACAACTGAGGCACTGATATCACTGAGGGCCCCGGCAACTCAGACACCGCTGTCGCAGGGGGCCCTAGCAACTCAGGCACTGGGGTAGAAGGGGGCCCTGGCAACTCTGGCACCGGGGTAGCAGAGGGCCCAGGTAACTCCAGCCCTGGAGTCACAGGGGGCCCCTGCAGCTCCGGCATGGAAGTCGCAGGTGGCCCCGGCAACTGCATCGCTGAGGCCACCGACGACTCCGGCAGCTCCAATGCTGTGGGCTTGGGTAGCTCCAGCAGCTCCTGTGATCTTGTCATGGATGAATCTGCAGTCTCCGATGGTACTGCTACAGGCTGCTCTGGCAATCTTAGGTCTTCAGTTTCAGAAGACTCTGGAATATCCACTGTTGATGTGCTTGGCTCAGGGTGTGCCTCAATAGGTGTCTGTGATGATACCATAAGGGTTTCTGATGGCTCCAGCACTTTTGCTACTGGAGGCTCCAATATGGTCTTTGATGGCTCTGGAGATGTGCACTCCAAAGATTTCAGCACAGACTTCATCTGATACTCCATTGACATTGTTACAACTGGCTCAGGTGACGTTAGCACTACTGTTGTAGTAGACACCGGTGCTGTTGAAAAAGAATCCAGAATCTTTGTCATGGGTGGTTCCAGCGTTACTGCCACAGACTGTTCTGATTGCACAGAGATTGCTGATGTAGATGCAAGTGACAGTTCTGCAGTTTTTGTAGCTGGCTTCAGAGTTTCTAAGGTGTGGGACTGTGACACCTCCATTGAGACTACAGGAGGTTCTAGCACAACTGCAGGAGTTTCACTGGTCTCAGAGAGCCCAAACGCTCTTACCGGATGCTCCAGTGCCATTGCTGAAGGCTCAGAATCAAACTTCAAAAAGGAATCTGATTCTAAATCCATGTTCTCTTCATGATGTGATTTTGCCTTTGATTCAGATTCTTCTGGCTGCCTTTTATACTTTTTTTCCTTTTCTTTCTTCTTTTTCTTCTTTTTATTTTTGTGCTTTTTATGCTTCTTTGACTTTTTAGTGGGAACTTCATCAGTAGGGTCTGTTTGTACAGAGACACATCTACTTTTTCTGGAGGCCTCCTTCAAGTCTGAAATCGAGAAATTAATTTTAATTTGTCAAACACTGGTTTAGGTAAATCATAGAAGCCAAGACTTACACTCCATGGTAAGACACCACAGTATAACACTTCTTGTTAAATAAAAAGATACCAAACGAACTACTTTTCATAAGCCAATTATCTTAAGATTGACACTTTTCCAATACTTCTACAACTAAAGATTGGGTGAAAATAAGTTATTAGCTTATGCCCTGGCTGGATGGCTCAGTTGGTTGGAGCATGGTCCCGAACACCAAAAGGTTGCAGATTCAATTCCTGGTCAGGGCACATACTTAGGTTGTGGGTTTGATCCCCGGTTCGGCACATATGGGAAGCAAACCACCAATAGATGTTTCTCTCTCCCCCTCCATCCCCACTTAGCTTCTCTAAGAAAAAAAAAAAAAAAAAAAAAAAAAATTAATGAAAACATCATTGGGGAAGGATTAAAATAATTTTTTAAGTTCATAGTTTGTAACCAAAGCTTTAGAATTACATTAAAATGTGTTTCAACTGCCAAAACCGGTTTGGCTCAGTGGATGGAGCGTCAGCCTGTGGACTGAAAGGTCCCAGGTTCGATTCCGGTCAAGGGCATGTATCTTGGTTGCGGGCACATTCCCAGTAGGAGATGTGCAGGAGGCAGCTGATCGATGTTTCTCTCATCGATGTTTCTAACTCTCTATCTCTCTCCCTTCCTCTCTGTAAAAAATCAATAAAGTATATTTTTTTAAAAAAATGTGTTTCAACTAAATTCATTTAAACAATTATTTTCTGCAGCTCTCAAATTGTAGCAAATTACACTTATAGATGAATCTTTCATATTATCAATTGTTAGAATTGCTATAAAAACCACCCACGTGGAATTTTCATGCTTATGTGAATTCCCCATGGGGTTGTACTAAAATTTTTATTTTCTCCTGTTTAAAAAAAAAAGTTAAATAATTGTTGTATTTTATAACCCCTATTTATACAGAAAGCAACATGGCACTGGATCTGTAACAAGCTGATTGCTTTCAGATCCTAAATCAATCCATCACTAACTACATCAGGGGTGGGCAAACTTTTTGACTCGAGGGCCACAATGGGTTCTTAAACTGGACTGGAGGGCCGGAACAAAAGCATGGATGGAGTGTTTGTGTGAACTAATATAAATTCAAAGTAAACATCATTACATAAAAGGGTACGGTCTTTTATTTCCAATAGTTTTATTCCTTTCAAACGGGCCAGATCTGGCCCGCGTGCCGTAGTTTGCTCACGGCTGAACTAGATGAATGGACTAGGCCAAAGTACTAACACTGTCACTTAGAGTAAAGGATGAGGAGAGTTAAAACATACAAAGTACATAGAACAATGCCTGGTGCAAGTAAGCCCTCAGTGAATGCTAGTGATTGCTCTTGTATACATAAGTCTGCGTAACAAATGGAAAGTATCAATATGGCACTTGAATTTATCTTAATCACACCCATGTTACATCCTAATAAATATAATATCCTTTCCCACAATAATCTTCTAAAATTGGTAACAATTTTAATGTTTCTCAAAAAAATATGCTCGTAATAAAATCATTTTGGAAACAAATTTCTTACAGCCCTTAACATGTAATTTAAGAGTATTCAATATCCTCAGGTGAGGACTGACAAAAAATTAGAACATTTGGCCCAGCCAGTGTGACTCAGTGGCTGAGTGTCGACCTATCAACAAGAGGTCACGGTTCAATTCCCAGTGGGAGGCACGCAGGAGGCAGCCGATCAATGATTCTCTCATCATTGATGTTTCTCTCTCTCTCCCCCCCCCTCCTTTCCTCTCTGAAACAAAAAATAGTTTTTAAAGAAAGAATATTTCAATTCATCTGAAGAGAAGTAGTTTATATTCCACTTTATAACCAGATGGGATTTATTCTAATGCCAGTATCAAATTAGATAACTCTTAGTGATCCCAGAAAAAGCTGATTATAAACCTAGTCCATTAAGGTTATGGAAAAAATAAAACAACATATAGCAAGACCTATTCCAAAACAAAACCAATCCGTTTCTATCAACTGTCTATTATGCAGCAAATTGTTAGCTAAGTTATACTTCAATCAAGAAAAAGTTCCTAGGCCCTAGCTGTTTTGGCTCAGTGGATAGAGCATCGGCCTGTGGACTGAAGGGTCCCAAGTTCGATTCTGGTCATGGGCACATGCCCAGGTATTGGGCCTGATATCCAGTGTGCAGGAGGCAGCCGATCAATGATTCTCTCTCATCATTGATGTTTCTATCTCTTCCTCTCTGAAATCAATAAAAATACATTAAAAGAAGTTACTAGACCCATGAATCTAAGTATGGCTAAAGTCTCTGCTTTTTAACCATATCCTATACCCAAAATAAAAATTTTAAAATGAGCCCTAGCCAGCTTGGCTCAGTGAATAGAGCGTGCGGACTGCAGGGTCACAGGTTCGATTCCAGTCAAGGGCATATGCCTGGGTTGTGGGGCATGAAAGAGGCAGCTGGTCAATGATTCTCAATGATTCTCTCATCACTGATGTCTCTCTCCATTCCTTCCTCTCTGAAATCAACAAAAGCATATTTTTTTAAAAATACCCTATTCCTAAGTAAAAACCAACAAAAAAACTTTAAGAAAAAAATTAAAATGAAAAAATCCTATCACATTTTCTAAAACTAAATGAAGTTATTGTAATTTTTGTAGTTGATCATAACTTCGTTTCTAAAGTTTCCATTTCTAAGCATCAATTATTTACCAATTCCAAAAATGCTAAAACCCAAACAATTCCTTTGCATTCACTGCACCTTTAAGAGAGATAGATGCAAAAAACAAGGCAATCTCTACACACGATTTTTAAATAAAACCTCCCAGGGTTTTATTTTATTTTTTCTATATATATATATATATTTTATTGATTTTTTACAGAGAAGAAGGTAGAGGAATAGAGAGTTAGAAACATCGATGAGAGAGAAACATCGATCAGCTGCCTCCTGCACATCTCCCACTGGGGATGTGCCCGCAACCCAGGTACATGCCCTTGACCGGAATCGAACCTGGGACCCTTCAGTCCGCAGGCCAACGCTCTATCCACTGAGCCAAACCGGTTTCGGCAACCTCCCAGGGTTTTAAAGTCATTACAAATGTGGTCCGGGCTCCTGTACCTTCCAAAATGGACATTTACACAATTGTTCGATGAAAACCTGCTTTCAAAATCCCAGCACTGAGGCATAAGACTAAACCAAATAAAGATAAAGCGTATCCCACCACCAAAGCAAACAATGCATCATTACTCATATTTCAAAACCAAACAACATTTTCAGTAAACCAATTAAACTAAAACTTAAATATACTGAAGTTTTAGGTCTACTGAACATTTTAAATTCCATGCAGTCAAGAAATAACACTGTTAAACCATTAAAAAATCTTTAGGTTTTTTACAGCTGATGATCTCCAACTTACCTGGCTTACAGCGTAGTTCTGTATCTAAGACCCCAGAAAGTACTTCCTCTATCTTCTGAACTATTTCTTCATTTGGTAGGCTCCTGGCAGAGGCAGCTGCATCCTCACCTGCCTGGTTTCCTTCAATAGGTGTATTTGTTTCACCATTGAGCTGGCCTTCACTCCTTCCACTTGACAAAAAAAAAGTTATCAAAATTCATTAATATTTTTACCATACCATATAACAAATTAATATTTGTAATTCAATTATTAAAATAACCTTATATTAATACATTTCACAATTTTTGTATTACTTTCAGATGGTATTTCCTACCAGTAGTACTTCTTTAACACTTCCTACTTATAGTTGGTACATTTTTATTTTCACATAATTGACGTTTTTGGGATCATGAAAGTGAAGAAAAAAATCTTTAAGACAGGTTTCTAAACTTATCTTTTTAAATAATAAAACACTCCCAGAAATATAAATTGAATTAGATTTTAGTTACCTGCATATTTAATGCAGGTAACAGAAAAGTCATTAAAATCACAATCAAAAATCCCCCCAAATATATATGACTTAACATTATAATAGAGGCTATAGCCACCATAGTGGCTTTAGCCTCTATTATAATGGCTTCACCTCTCCATGAATCACAATCAACAATATCAAGGAACATAAAGTTAACCACAGAAACATCAAGTAAAAAGGGTAACATATAGGCTCTGGTCAGTTAATAAAATGCCCAAAAGTTTTAAAAGAAAAATGTATTAGCCCAGCCAGTGGTTGAGCCTCAACCTGTGCGTTCCAGTGCACATGCTGAGGTTGCAGACTAGCTGCCCAGCAGGGGGTTTGCAGGATGGAGGAGGCAGCCTATCAATAATTCTCTCTCATCACTGATGTTTCTAACTCTCTCTCTGAAATCAATTTTTTTAAAAAGATATTTAAAAGAAAAAATATACATAATTTTTACCTAGTCATAAAAAATCCTAGTAATTATCTGTAATACTATCAACAAAAAATATACTTTAAAAATCCCAGTATTCAATTTCTGGAGATCAAAAAATTTCACATAAAAGAAGTAACAATTCACTTATACCAACAATGGCTTAATATATTTTCAATTCACAGGGCCAAACGAATCTTTTCCTTTAGTTGAGGTAAAATTACTGAATATATATAAAAGTTTCAAGTGTACAATATTATAATTTAACATCTGTATTCACTACAAAGTGATCATCACCAAAATTCTAGTTATTACCATTCATCACCATACAATTGACCCCTTTCACCCAACCCCTCTCACAACCACCAATCTGCTTTCCGTATTGAGTCTGTTTTGTTTTTTTTACATAGAAGAATCTTGACAAAAGGACAAGCCACTTATCCAGTCATTTTTACTATTTTTGTGTAGATTTGCAAAATTTTTGAAAAATAATTTCACCAACACGTTCAACTGAACCTAAATTTTGGCTAACAAAAACAGAATTACGCTCCACTACCTAATAAAAGTCTGAAATTCCAAAAAAATAAATCAGCAGTTAACTGTTATTCAGAAAATTTGGTTTTCTACAATGAATCCCATAATAATAAAGGTTCTACACTTTTAAACTCACTTAATCCTAACAAAACTCTAAAATCAGCACTACTGTTCTGATTTTATAAATGAGGAATTCGAGGCCCAGAGAAGACAGGAAACCTAGCTGAAGGTCACACAGCTATCAAGAAGTGAAGCAGGTATGTAAAGCCAGAGCTCATACTCTTACAACCACAACCTATTTTAATAGCTTATCTTAACTAATTTAGACCAATAATGTATTACATGTTACCTGAGAAGCTAATATTCCTCTAGTAATAAATTGGGTTGTCTAACATTCTTTTTTGACTTTCTTCAAGAGCTCTTTATTTTGCACCTTTCCTAAGAACTTTACACATACATATTACCTTACTAAAAAAGCAACGGAGGTAAAAATAAGAAAAGCACAACTAAAAAAAAAAAGTGTGAGAAAGTAATCATCTTAAAGCTATTAGAATGCTTACAGCAAATACTTGAGATAACAATTTCAAATAACCTAAATATCCATCAATACAACAAAATTCTATGGAACCATGAAAAATATCCCAAAAGACTACTGAGACTGTGATAAAAGGCAAACTTGTTCACAATTTCTTCGGTGAAAAATCAACACTAAACAAGATGACCACATTTCACAAAACATGTATGTGCTTCTGTATGCGGGGACACACACACACACACACACACACACACATATCAATGACTATGTAGAGGTTTTAAAATTTTTCCAAAATTTTTTTACAACCAAACTGACTTTCTAATAAAAACTGATTTCTTGAAGGCATGGAGACATTACAATAAGCAAACGCAATTACCTATTTGCATGACTATTAAAGTTTTCAAAAAATACATCTCCCCTTACCTCAAGTATTTTCTCATCACCCTAAAAACACAAGCATGTAATAACAAAATTTTAAAAAGGAACGAATTGAATGAACGGATATGTTTCCCACTTAAAAACAAACAAACATGTCCTGTAAAAATAATGGTCCTTACGATACTCTATACGTATGTCATTGCCCCAATAGCTGCATGTTAATTTGAGCACTTAATTTACAACTGCGTTTCCGGCTGATTTTCAAATTCACGTATTACTCTCGCTCTCAACTCGTAAAATACAACTACCAAAAACGTTTGAACTCGCAACAAATACGTTATACAACCCCAAAACACGAAGACAACCAGCCAGTGGACAACATGCCCCACGCTAGCTTCCTTTCTGAGTAAACAACTATTTCTTTGGCAATCTCTTCCAGTTTAAATTTTGTGGAACCGAGGATATAAGTCCACCAGCCATGGCAAAAGTAACGAGTTATTCAAATGTGTCCATGGGGACAAGGGGAGCAAATAAAAACGTGTTCTCTACACACAAAGCCCACCGTCCACTTGCTCAATTAAGAAGTGGCTCGTAATGGAGAGTCCCCTTCCACCCTTACCTCGAATATTGTGTCATCGGGATGTTTTAATTTGAATTCCTAGTCGAGGAGAACGCTGCCTGGTGGCAGGCACAGTGCACTAGGGCCCAAATAATCTAATTAGAGGATCCCGACCCCGAGATGGTCGGAAGCTGGCAGGACAAAGCGGATTTCAGTTGACACAAGCCCGGCCGGCAGAGACCCTTTCCGGTCGCGGGCACCGGCCGGCGAAATCGGCGGAGGCTGCGGGGGGGGAGGGGAGACGCGAGGCGGAGGAGGAGCCGAAGAGGAACTAGGCCGCCTCGGCGCACGACCAGGCCCACCGCCGCGGAAGACAGAGGGAGCCGGGCCGACGGTGGAAACGGCGAAGTTCCGCGCTGGTAAGGGAGCGGATGGGGGGGCGGGGAGGGCGGAGGGCGGAGAAGGGATCCCGGGCCCAGGCGGGGCCGACGTAGCGGGGCCCGAGGCGAGGAACGACGGCGACTGTGGATAAAGGTGCCCTACGCGGGGCCCCGCCCGTCCTGGGGGAGCAGAAGAGGCTGGAGAGCGCCTACCTGGAAAGCTCTTGTTGAATTTCCCGGAATTTACTGACCACGAAAGACCTAAAAATCTGCTCGATGTTGGTCGCCATGGCGTCCGCTCCGTTCTCTCAACTCCTCCTCGCTAGTCCTCCAGGCTCCCAGAATGCCTCGGGAGGGGGCGCAGCGGCCAATTCCGTGTGCCGCCCTTCTGATTGGCTTATGTGGGAACGTTGGGCGCCGCACGCTCCGCCTCAGGGCCAATCAGAGCGCACGGCCCGGCTCTCCTTCGCTGTTTCTGAGCCGCCGGGGGAGAGCTGCTGACGTTTGCGCCGCGCACGGCCCTGTCCGCCATGTTAGTGAGTGACGCAGGCGCCATTACAGGAGCAGCCTCTCAAGGCGACTTTTGTCAACCCGCAGCGGTGTTGGGGGGCCGAAGAGGCGCTAGCCGCTCAGTGCCCGGGGTTAAGCGGCGTCAGGGAAGGGACCGAGAAGGGCGACGTGGCGTTCGACAGGGCCCCCCACGTTCATTCCCAAGGGCTGGCAGCAGGGACCCGTATCCGGGGAAGCACCCCGAGCGCCCGCCCCTGCTGTGAGGCAACGCGAAGAACACGATCCCCCCCCATCTTCCATGACACCCGATAGTCGGTGGGGCGTTAGTGAAGCAATAGGCGGAGGTCGCGAGCGACCTGCGTCCAAAGCGCAGTGCATTCTGGTCAGCAGCCAGGCCGATCTGACTCGGGAGCCACGGATCATGAGCTACGCGCGGCTGGCGTTTCGGGCGCTCCCCG